TATATTTCTTTGAATTTCGATCATAGGCTAGGATAGTCTGGTTAGTAAGATGTTGAGCTTGTGTCCGTAAGATTGTGAGTTCGAATCCCGCCGGTCGAAGAATCCCCATGCATTAAATTGTGACTAGTGCACGTTGACTCTGTAGGGGTCACAAAGTTCTCCAAGTTTCGTTAACAATTCAATACCTCTGGGGGAGCCGCGATGGGGGATAGAGAGTTCGCCTTCCAATGAGGGGAACCGGGTTCGAATCCCAGTCGATACGAATTCCGCAACCGACTTGCACCGACCACAGTGCTGACGCGAAATATCCTCAGTGGTAGACGGATCATGGATTGGAATCCCTTTGCCGCCAGGATAACCGAGGNGTTCTCGTGGTCTTCCTCTCCATGTAACGCAAATGCGAGTTAGCTTCATCAAAAAGTCCTCACGAAGGCAAATTTCTCCCAATAATTGATAATTTGTCTTCTGGATTCAAGTTTAGAAGGCTACGGAGTTGAACATTAGTAGTCGTAAACCCATAAAATTGGATCGGCTGTTCAACGACGGTTATGAAATATAAAAATAACTCTAGGGCTACTAAATGGTTTCAGGTCAAAATTACGATCTGTGGATCAATAAATGCTGTATGAATGGGTCCTCCCCGTAAAATGGTTTACACGCGTGTGTGTGTGGCTGAAATTGTACTTTTGGCCATACATGGCGCCAGTGAAGAACAAGAAACGTACCCCTCTGCCTTAAATTCTCTTGGTTTTTCATATTAGCCTTGCTGGTATGACCTGTAGCATAAGAAACAACAACAACATTTTTACCATGGAGCAAAATCTACTTGACTCAAATAATAAGTTATTTATTATCATTAAACTGTCCAATACTTTACTTGATTCGAGTTCAATTATTTTGATTTTTCATTGCAATTAAAACTCCGACTAACGAATGTAAATCAAATTTTACTTTCACACAGGCAATCGCTTTATAAAGGCATACCAAGAAAATGTAAACATTATTTTTTAAGTGATAAAATTGTATTAATTGTGATCCTTTACATTAGACATTTGGTACATACGCTAGGTCTTTATAGCCTAGAGCGAATATAAGAAAACGTTTTTTTTAGAATTTTATTTTTGGCACGATTTCGTAAAAACTATTGCACCGATCTTGTTAAAGTTTTGGTCATTTCTCCTAAATGGAATTAACTACTTGAACGAATATTTTTTTGTCTTAGATCACAACATATTTTAAAAGGCAATTTAATTGAAAAAATAAATTTATTTAGAAAACGTTTGCCAAATTCCAATAAGATCAGTTTAATAAATTTTTATCCATTAATATTTAATCCATAATCAGTGGTCGGAACAAAAAAATTTTTTTTTGTAGTTAACTACAACTACAACTACAACTACAGCTACTATTTTTATATGTTGCGACTACAAACCACTTTCGAAATGTATTTACTTCGCTATTTTTAGAAGACAAACTTAATTGGAGAATTTAATTTTCAATAACATTTAAAATGATTTTGAATAAGAAATTGGCTTGGTTAAATATGAGGAGATATTAAGATGTTTTAATTCATGTTTACATGAAATAGTTTTTTTATTCTAAAGCACTTTTTACGAATTTGTTCTTTTAACTTTCAAACTCAATGCTTTTCTCTACAGTGATTAAGTAATGCTGGCGAATATAATTATCAAATATTTGTCATTTAAGTGATCAATGCTTTTTTATATCCTCCAACAAATAAAGTACAGTGTGAAAAACAAAAAACAGACCACCCTGAATAACTTTTAATCTAATGATCGGATCTTCATGTCCTAGGACTCCATCTTAATGGTTTCAGGAGGTGACATCGAATATGCTAATTAATTAATGCAGACGATAATTTAGGTTACGAAATCAGACTTAAAAACGCACCTTAGGTCCTGTAAAATCGAATTTTAAAAAAGTCAGATATTTAAAATTCCATTTCTCAGGAACAATTCGACCGATTTCGCTCCGTTTTTTTCCGAGTATAAGACGTAGACCTTACAAACGCTCGGCCACAGAGGCATTCTCATTATATACGTTGACGGGGCCGCGGTGGCTTTGCACCAATCAGATTAGGAACATATTTTGCGTTTGAACTTTGTTTTTTTATTTAACTAACGTTAAACGCCAAGAATCGCTACAAACTTCTGTATTTTTCTTTTTTGTATCGCACTACTCTCTACACTATTTCTAATAAAAAGTAGCGCACTGCACTAGAAACTACGGAAAAAAGTTGCGACTACAGCGGTAAGGAGTTTCCAAAGGCTCTTTCGATTTGAAATTTATTCAGTATGTTGTACTATTTATTTATTTCTTTTTTTTTGCATATGGCTGAATAATTTAGATCCATTAACCCTTTAATGATTTTTATGTTGATTTTCAAGCTAATAAACATTTAAAATTCTAACACACATTATTATATAAAAATTACAATTTAGGTATTAATTAGCTAAAATATTGAAATGCGCAGCTATTGTTAATTCTTTTTAATATTTACCTTTAAATATTAATATTTAAAAAAATCTTAAATCTTAAAGAAGGATAAATAACAAATATAACTCCTTTCTCAGTCCTTCTGCGCTATATCCAGACAATAACTTCGAGTTTCCAGGAATTGCAATTAGGGCTTTCAAAAAATAATAAAACGAAAACATAGGAATGCGAAACAGATTTTATTTCTTTTTTTTTTTAACTACCGTTCTTCGTGACAAAGGAAGTGAAACTCGAATTTATTTATTCTAGAGAAATGCGCAGATTGATAAAAAATACGCCACTTTTAAATGTGATAGGAATTCTTACTTGGCAAACTTACTTTTGTGTTTGCTTAGTGTCTGGAAATTTGAAAAATGTAATTTTATAGAAAGCTTATCGATTAGTTTCTCTTGGAATATTTCTCTCCTTAATCGAGTGATTAAAAAAAGGATAAGTTGAGAATGCTTTAGTTAATTAGTTAACATAATTACGAATTTGTAAAAAGGGGGGATTGAAATTTTAAAGAATTAAAAATTCCTCTTAACTTAATTCTTGTTCGGATATCAAAATTGAATTTCCATTGTTCACATGCATTTAACTAAAAACTATGTCGAAAAAACATTGAAATGTATATAAAAAAATAGTTTGAATAGATAAAGAAAAAAAAATTGCTAGGTCCGATTACTCTGACCCCGGAAAAAAGCAGATTAAAATTTGTGAGCGTTACTTTACAGTCAATTTTATGAAAAAGGTTGTAAATGAAACACTGGAATATTTGCATGAAATTTTTAAATCACGTAACCGTTCTGTTGGGTATGACATTTCTGGAGGAGATAGGTTTAGGTTATTTTAGTTTACATAATTTCTGTCAGCGTACATTATGCAAAATAATTATTTCATACTAATAATCATATATTGCGATATGTTTAAATTTAACCTTTCGGTTCTGTTGATAGCTTAATTTCAAATGCTTTTTTAAATGCTTTTATTTTTAAGCTTTTATTTTTTTATTTACTTTTATCTAGGAAATGAAAGTGATAATTATTCTTAGCGATAATTCAAATCTAAACTGAAATCTTTTCCCCCCCATTATTTTATGTTAGGGAAAAGTTCCGCTAGTATACCCCATCGTTTCCCATTCAAATGAAAAAAAGGGAAACATCATTAATTGTAATTCTTTCATTAGAAAAATCGGGAAATTTCTCCAGTTCTTAGGCTTGGTTAAGGGAAAAACTTAAAATTATAATTATGTTTTCTTTAATCTATTTTAATTAGAGGATGTTATGTGAACGGGCTTATGAATTGAGAGAGAGAAATTAGGCAAGGAAATAAAATCTAAAGACTTGTTAAAGCTTTTTATATAATTTTTTTTATTTTTTTTCCTGGACCTGTTTAACAGACCAATTATAATTACTAAGATTTCCCTTATTCCCTAAAACGAAACATTATACGGATTTACTCTACAAGATTTTCCCTAACTTTTATTGAGGAGCACAACGATTTTGTGTAACTTGAATGATTGTTCTTTCTCAAATAATTATTAAATAAATATTGTGCCCTCTTTCCCTGCCTAAGACCTGAATATATATGAAGAATATATATATATATATATATATTCTAATATAACTCTAATATATATTAATATATTACTTTCTTTCTTTTACAAGTTATAATACACAATATATATTCTATATCGTGTATTTCTGCCTTCCCACCTATTTATTCTAGAAGATCAAGTTCGGATGTCCTAAGACTGCTTTTAACTACTCTATTAGAAATATCGGATTAATTTATATGATCGATCTTCAAATGAGAATACTTAAGAATAAAGCAGTAGGTTCTTCATACCTAATCCATATTTCCATTCTTTTATTACCCTATTCAAGCTTGTTTCTCTTATGATTAAATCACTTTTTTCTTATTCAAGCGTGTTTATTTCGTTATTTTTCTTCTGTCAGTTTGTGTTTAGACGCTGAAACAGTTCTTTTTTATCGAACTTTATAGTGTCGATACATTACTTTCAGTTCAAATTACTCTTTGTATGTCATTTCTAAACCTTTATTTGCTTTATTCACGATGAGCTCTTTTAGTTCAAGATCTATCTTATTTTGAGTTAACGTAAAATTTTTTTGTTTAAATTTTTTGAATTTCAATCAATATCTCGCATACAGACATTGGAGTTTTAAAATACTACAAAACTTGCAAATCAACAAAACCTATGATATAAGTTCTATCCAAAAAAACATTAATCAAATTACTTTTAGTTTATGGAGATAATTATTTAAACATTGTTTTCGTTGGTTTTTATTTGTTTACTGTTGAAAAAACATTAAAGAGATTTTGCAAAAAAGAAAGAAGTCAGAAAAACAAATATAAAAATGTTCAACTCATAGATGCATTTTTTATGATGTTATATTCTTGCAATTTTTCTTTTATGCATATGTAAAATTAAAAAAAAAAAGAGAAATTCATTAATGATTTGTTTTTTTAAAATTTTTCTTTAGGTATCCAGACATTTTTTATTACTGCATCTTTTTCTTACAACCACCATTACTTTAAGCCTCAATGGTAAGTACCTTTTGCAATTAACATATGTCTGTGAAAAAAAATAAAGACAAGTATAATTTTCTAATCATTTAAAGAGCTCTTAAATTAGATTTTGAAGCAATAAACTCTCTTCATTATATTTTCTTGGAGATATTAATTGATGCTAAAAAATAATCTGATTAACGTTGCTGTATATTTCTTTGTGTAATCACACGACTTTATAAATATGAGAAAAGATCAAATTTATTTTGAAATAGTTTTAATTTAAGGTGTAAGGTTTTATTTTTTTGCAGAACATAATATTTGTAATTATTTTTTGTTATTTTATTGATTTTTTACCAGATAGAGGTTACTCTTAAATAATCGACAAAAAATATGAAAATATTGCCTTTTTATATCAGTTTAAGCGCAGGCTTAATTTAAAGTATTTGGATTGTAAAATATTTAATTTATTTATTTGATGCTACATTCATTTTTTGTATTCGTTTAAAATAACATTAAAGAACTAATGAGAACATAAATATTTTATTTTTGGTCAATAAGGAATTTTTTATATTTCTTATGTATTAGTTACATGAAGAGAGAATTATATAGTTATAACCTTTTAAACTGAATTCATTAAGTCTGAGTTATACATTTAAATTATTAAGAAAAGCTTAAAACTCTTTTAAATTATTTTTTTAGAAAAATATAAAATAACGTTAAATTTTTTTTAAGATCGCGAATAATAATTTCGACGAGATAGTTAATTATCCGTAAGTGCATAGGAAAGTGTTATTGAACTAGCACTTATATTTTATCATATTACTAATTGCTTTATAATAGTGCTTAAGTTATCTAGTTACGTCTTTTCTTTTTGGTGTAAGTCTACAGAGTTTAAAATGACTTTAATTTTGTCAATTATAAAGATACCATCAGAGAGGAAAACAATATTTTATTTATTAAATTTTTTATCTTGTAGTGCATAAGCTACTTGAATAACTTTTGATCTAATGTAAGCAAATTTATGATTATTTTTACTGAGTTTATGTTTCAACATAGGCTTTTCTAAGTATTTATTTCAAAAAGGGCAATTATCGATTACCATTTTAATCTTTCCATTCTAATCAATAATCTTCAATAAATGATCTTGTTTAGTTTAACCTGGTATTTTGTATATTATTTTGTTTTCGTTATTTTATATTTCTTGACTTGCCGACCAGGTGGCCGAGTAGTTAGCGTGCCTGACTGCGGAGCCGATGGTTGCGGGTTCGAATCCTGCTCAGGGCATGGATGTTTCTTTCTCTCTGTGTTCTATGTCCTTTCTCCTTTGTGTGAATGTGACCCGCCCTATAAACGGGTTTGTGGTTGCGTGACGTGGGCGACGCTGCTCCACCACCGTGGCTTCGCCACATGTGCCTACTGGGTAACAAGAAGAGAGTAGCAGTTCTGGCACTCCTGGCCAATGGGACAATACATCCCAAGTGCCCGCCATTTGAAAAAAAATTTTTTTTCCTTGACTTTGATGCTTTAAATCAGGGATGGGCAAACTACGGCCCGCGGGCCAACTGTGGCCCGCCGGAAGGTTTTATCCGGCCCGCGGATAGAATTTTAATTTGCCGATCAGTGGCAATATACAGCCATTTTCTTGTAAAATATTTAAAATTATTCCTGTTTTTCCTTTTTTAACAAAGTATCGATGACCTTTTTACCTTCTCTATTTTTGTTCTACAAAACATAAATTGATGGAAATAATTAGCACAAACAGCTTTAAATGGTAAAATGTTGAAAGCAGAAGTTCTTCATAGAATAGCCTTAGATTGGCTCGAACTAAGGTTTGTCTTTCTCGAGGAATCTAATATAGGTAAATTGTACTTCACATTTGGCAGACTGCGCATTTTAAGATCCAACGAGCGGACAATCTAACAATCATCTGAAGCAGTTGTTTCTAAATATGCCAAAGTTTTACGAATCATTACCAAAAGCTAGTTTCCTAAAATTAATATTTCGGGCCCAGAAAATCAGCACTATGTTTGCTTAATCTTATACATGTGAACAGGAGTTTTCAACTATGAACCTTAGAAAAAATCATTTCAGAAGTAGACTAACAGAAAAGCATTTAGCCTTGTTGCTTAAAATAAGCACATTTCGAACCTTAATATAAGGAACTTTTAAAAATGAAATCCCAATTTTATTCATTTCACTAAATATTTAAATTAAAACTTGTATATTGCTTTTTTTTTAAATTTTGAAAGTTTTATTTGGCCCACCAAAAAAAAATTTTCTCGATTTTTGGCCCTCGACCAAAAAAGTTTGCNGTGTGACGTGGGCGACGCTGCTCCACCGCCGTGGCTTCGCCACAGGTGCCTACTGGGTAACAAGAAGAGAGTAGCAGTTCTGGCACTCCTGGCCAATGGGACAATACATCCCAAGTGCCCGCCATTTAAAAAAGTTTTTTTTTTTCATTGACTTTGATGCTTTAAATGTTTCAAAATTTTGGAACTTAAACGTAGAATCAAACTCAATTGCAATTAAAATATTTTAATTTATACTCACAAAACGGTTTTCTTTAACTTTTAAAGTTATTTAAATGCAAATAAAATAATCGTTATAATCAAACGATAGTGTTATATTTACGAACAATTCTCCTATATAGTTATTTAAGTTTATACACTGTAAAAAAAAGTATTTCTCAAAATTCAGCAAAAATGTTAAAAATAGGTTCGAAACAAATTCATTATTGATAGAGTGGCGTGCTTCAAAACTCATTTTTTCAGACTATGCCCTCTCTTGTTTAATCAACAAATTACTCAAAATGGTTACACGATGTATAATTTTTGGGACTATGCCTGTTGCTCAAAAATAAGTATATGCTGTTTTGAGCAAGTCACCTTAATCAATAAGGATTAAATAAGGTTTTCAAATTCGACTTTTTAGTCGAATTTCATTGTTTTGGAGCTATTTTGACACATTTTTGCTTAATTTTTAAGAAATTTTTTTTTAAAGTGTACAGTGCGCAAGGAAAAAAAAAAGATATCACCCTGGATAACTTTTGTTCTAATGCTTGGATATTTAAGTAAAAGTGCCGATCTTAATCGTTCCAGGGGTGAATATGCTAATAATTAGTGCTGACTATTAATTAAGTTACGAAAGCAGACACAAAGGCGTACTTTCTCTGAATAAACACATATTTTGTTTACATATTTGGATTCCTGAACCTCAAATTATAGGAAACGACAAAATTTCGAAAAAATTAGATCCTAAATTAGGGGACTAGGAAACGTCATATATTTGGCGATAGTTCAAAGAAACAGCCAAGCAATGTCGCCGCAGCAGAAGGAGTAATTTAGGATAGCCATAAACTAATATAAAAAAGCAATACCTAATTTTCTTCGTTCTTAAGCAACTAAATTGAGACAATAAAAAAAGAATGAAATAGAAACTGAAGGTTTTTCATTCATCGTTTTAGGATGGCTCGGAAATACTTATTTATTAATAGTTAACTGAGAAATATCTCAAAGTTTCTAGACAACAGATATTTTTTGGATTGATTTTTCAGCAAAAAGCAAAGATTGTTTTCTTTTTTATCTCTTTGAAAAGAAAATTTGAATCGATTAATAAATCATTTATGATTATCCAAGATTTGTAAATTTGAACACAAACTTTTTATATGACATTATTTGTGTTTCTTATGTTGTTTTAACTTAATTTATGTAAGGATTTCACACTAAAATCAAATTTACGTAATATTTTTTAATTATGTACAGAATTTTCGGGCTAATCTTTATTAAACTTTTAATTGTGTCTTCTTATCAAAGAAGTTTAAAGAGAAAAGTAAAACGAACCTAAAAACATGTCGAAGATTTGGAAAGAGATATACAAGGTGTTTATAAAGTCCCGGACCCATTTTGATGTTTAATAACTCATAAAATAATAAAGATAGATTAAAATTAATAACATAAATGGTTAGATTGACTCAAAAAGTTTCATGACCCTTGTCAATGAACTTGCACATGTCACACGAAAGTATCAAGTCGATAGTCAATTTCACACCAGGTAGCGGCAAGCATGTCGGCACCCACAGAGGCTATTCCTTGGCCACCCAGATCACCTGATATAACGCAGCTGGACTTTTTTCTTTGGGGATTTATAAAGGACAATGTTTACAGGAGGATCGTGTCGAACATTGATGACCTAAGAGCCAGAATTGCAACCACAATAGCCTCTGTGGAAGCCGACATGCTTGCCGTTACCTGGCGTGAAATTGACTATCGACTTGATATTCTCCGTGCGACGAAGGGGGCATACGTGGAAGTTCATTGACAAGGGTCATGAAACTTTTTGAGTCTATCTAACCATTTATGTAATTAATTTCAATCTATCTTTATTACTTTATGAGTTATTAAACATTAAAATGGGTTCGGGACTTTGTAAACACCCTATATAATTAGAATGCACATTCACAAAGTTTTATATCATTTACGATAATTTTTTTTTATATAACTGAAGAAATTGGTGAATGTTAAGTGCCATTTTCAAAATCATTGAAATATGTAATATTTATATGAAGACGTTTAAGAATAATATGTTGGATATTGTATGATTTTATTGTTTAAAAAAACGCTACATTCTCACAGATATTTAAGTTACATGGTTTTCATTGAATAAAGCTAATTTTCAAATGGAATTCTAATAACGTAAAGAATTGTTATAAGCTAATGGTATTTTTTCTGCTATAGTAGTTTCGTTATTTGCTATGTTTCTATCATTCTTATAAATCATGAATTTTCATAGTTATAACAGCTGGCTTATAACTTTAATAACCATTATAATTCCTTTCCAAAGGGATGTATTGATCTGTAAACGGCATGAAACGGCCTTTTAAATGATAGCCTGCGAGTTCAAATTCACTATCACTCCAATTAGTCTATTAAACGACTGTTAGAATGTGATTGCTTTAGGTCATTTGTAGAACCTATGAGGTTCAGTCTAAAAAGTTATACATTTAAATGGAATTTGTTCTGAAGAGAACCCTTTACTTA